TTTGAGACAGAATCTTGAGCTGTGGCCCAGGCTGGAGTGCAATGGTGTGATCTTGGCTTGCTGTAACCTCAGCCTCCTGGGTGCAAGCAATTCTCCTGCCTCAGCCTCCTGAGTGCTGGGATTATATGCGTGCACCACCACACTCAGATAATTTTTGTATTTTTAGTAGAGAGAGGTTTCCCCCTATTGGACAAGGCTTGGATTGAACTCGTGACCTCAAGTGATCCACCCACCTCGGCCTCCCAAAGTGCTGGGATTACAGGCGTGAGCCACCGCGCCCGGCCTCCTACAACATTCTTAGAGCGTTCTTTTATTTTTACTTTTTTGAGACCAACTCTCAATCTGTTGCCCAGGCTGGAATGCAGTGGTGTGATCTCTGCTCTCTGCAATCTCCACCTCCTGGGTTTAAGTGATTCTTGTGCCTCAGCCTCCCAAGTAGCTGAGACTAAAGGCATATGTTTGTATTTTTAGTAGAGGCAGGTTTTCGCCACATTGGCCAGGATGGTCTTGAACTCCTGGCCTCAAGAGATCCCCCCACCTTGGCCTCCCAAAGTGCTGGGATTACAGGCGTGAGCTACCACACCCAGTCTCTTAGAGAGTTTTTCATGGAATTACCTAATGTATGACAGAAAGGGCATTGACAGCTTGCAAATTAAAGCAGGTAAGACTGTTGTGTTCTTTTTGTTTTTTAATGTGACAGGATCTGGCTATGTTGCCCAGGCTAGTCTTGAACTCCCGGGTTCAAGCAATCCTCCTGCCTCAGCCTCCCAAAGTGCTAAGATTACAGACATGAGTCACCATGCCCAGCCTGATGTGTTCTAATTAAGGCTAACACCTTCACTATTGCTCTTACGCTTTAAGGGTCGAGATTAGACCATGAAGACCAGGTGAAAGGAGGAAGACAAAGCACTGCTTTCGAGGAGGACAATTTGAACAATATTAATTGTTTTTAAACAATATTGTCTAAAGTGTCTCATTTTTAAGTATCTTTTTCATAAATATTTTATGTCCTACTCCTCACTACATGATAGCAGTTATAAAGAAAATTGAACAAAATAAAAGTCATGTCAGACAGTAACCTGCTGTTCTTTTAACTTTGCATTGTCTGAAGTATGTAGAGTTAGAACATTGTAATATTCAGGGAAAAAAGATGCATTACATCAGTTTGGGTTTTTATTTATTTATTTACTATAAGACAGGATTTCATTCCCGTTGTCCAGGCTGGAGTGCAGTGGCACAACCTCAGCTCACTGCAACCTCCTCCTCCAAGGGTCAAGCAGTCCTCCCGCCCAGCCTCCCGAGTAGTCAGAAGTACAGGTGCACATCACCACACCCTGCTAATTTTTGTATTTTTAGTAGAGGTGGGGTCTTGCTATGTTTACCATGCTGGTCTCCAATTCCTGGGCTAAAGCAATGCTCCCGCCTCAGCCTCCCAAAATGCTGGAATTGCAGGTGGCAGCCACCACGCTGCGCCCAGTGTGGATTTTTTAAAAGATTTCAGAAGGGAAAAGTCACGACGTTAAAGAGTGTTAAACCGGACAGGCGTTGTGGCACACGCCTATGATCTCAGCTGCTCAGGAGGCTGAGGCAGGAGAATTGCGTGAACCCGGGAGGTGGAGGTTGCAGTGAGCTGAGATCATGCCACCTCACCCCAGCCTGAGCAACAGAGCCAGAATCTACCTCAAAAAAAAAAAAAAAAAAAGAGTCTTAAACAGACCAAGCAGGCATCGTAGCTCATGCCTGTAATCCCAGCACTTTGGAAGGCCGAGATAGGCAGGTCACTCGAGCCGAGAAGTTCGAGACCAGTCTAATCAACATAGTGAGACCCTGTCTCTACCAAAATAAATAAATAAATAAATAAATAAAAGCTGGGCCTGCTAGCACATGCCTCTAGCCCCAGCTACTTGGGAGGCTGAGGTGGGAGGATCACTTGAGCCTGGGAGACTGAGGCTGCAGTGAGCTGAGATTGTGTCACTGCACTCCAGCCTGGGTAACAGAACATGACCCCATCTCTAAAAAAAGGAAAGATTGTTAAAACAGGAGAACCTTCCTAAAAAAGGAATGTTAAACAGAAGAATATTTTCCTGTTCAAGAAGAGCTTTGAGCATTTCTTTTTAGTGAGCAGAGTTGAGAAGACATGTGAACAAGGATGTGACTGACAGGACTTCAATATCTGTTGTGTTGATTTTCAGGAATAAGCTTGGGCCTTTCCTCCTCGTTGTTTCCTTTTTGCACGTCCACATCCCTCTTATCACTATGAAGAACTTCCTCGGGAAGAGTGCCCACGGGCTGTATGGGGATAACGTGGAGGAGATGGACTGGATGGTAGGTAAGTGCCCTTCCGGGGGAAAGGAGCTGCTTCCATCCAGCAGCAGAAGCAGGAAAGGAAGCAACGAAAAGGTTAAAGACAGAAGACGCAGAATCACGATTGCAGTGAGATTGGATTTTAAGAGTCCAAAATTTTATAGCACAAATCTTCACTCCGTTAGCAGAAGATGAATTCCACAACGTGCATGGGAGGCAATGCGATTCGGCCAAAGATGTCCACGTCTTAATTCCATGTGGCGGAAAGAATGACAGCCCCAAAGCTGTCCACTCCCTAGTCTTCATGTGGGAGACAGAATAACGGCTGCGAAGACGTCCACATCCTAATCTTGATGTGATAGACAGAAAAATGGCCCCAAAGAACCACTTTCTGATCCCCATGTAGGAGACAGAATAATGGCCCCAGAGATGTCCACATCTGAATCCCCATGTGTTAAATAGAATAATGGCCTCAGAGATTTCCACGTCTTAATTCCCAAGTGGCATTCCCAGAATTTTGGCCCCAAAGATGTCCACATCCTAATGCCATGTGGTACGCAAATGAAAGAAAGATCAGGTAAGATTCCTCTCAGCTATAGAGTGGCTAGTGGCTCCACTGCACTGAAAATACAACTAGATTTCTTCCTGTCACCAACAGCCCCGTGACCTGCTGCTGCCCAGATCCTAGTCTGACCTCTGCCCTTGTCCTCCCCACCTGCTGCATTCTGGCCACGTGGACACCACACAGTATCTTTCACATTTGTCCCCTGCATGGGCTTCTACACCTGCTGCTCCCTCCCCAAATGGTTCCTCAGGCTTCACTGTCTTCTCTTCAGAGCCTGCCCTGAAGCACCCTAAAGTGGCTCCACCCCAATCATCTTCTCTCCCATTCTCCTGAGGTCCGTTTTCTGTTTTGCCTTTGTTTTCCTCCTCCTCCTCCTCTTTCTCCTTTCTCCTCCTCCCCCTCTTCTTCTTCTTCCTTTCCTCCTCCTCCTCCTCTTCCTCCTCCTCCTCTTCCTCCTCCTCCTCTTCCTCCTCCTCCTCTTCCTCCTCCTCCTTTTCCTCTTCCTCCTCCTCCTCTTCCTCCTCCTCCTCCTCCTCTTCCTCTTCCTCCTCCTCCTCTTCCTCCTCCTCCTCCTCCTCTTCCTCTTCCTCCTCCTCCTCTTCCTCCTCCTCCTCCTCTTCCTCCTCCTCCTCTTCCTCCTCCTCCTTTTCCTCTTCCTCCTCCTCCTCTTCCTCCTCCTCCTCCCCCTCTTCCTCTTCCTCCTCCTCCTCTTCCTCCTCCTCCTCTTCTTCCTCCTCCTCCTCTTCTTACTTCTTCCTTCTTTGTTCCCTAACACAGCATCACCATTTTTTCTCTTCATGACCATGTGTTAGGTAGCTCGATTTTCCATTTTCCCCCAGGAGAATATAAACTCTTGCGGGTCTGGATTGTCTTGTCTCATTCACTCATTGTATACCTGGGTTTGAAACAGAATGGAAGGGGAATAATGCTTGAGTGAGTCAGGGCTGGGTGAGTATGTGGGCACAGCACATCCTTGCCTCCCAAAAAAGAACTAGGAACCCCTGGGTTTAGGTGGTGAGCTGAGAATTCCAGGATGCTCAGAATAATTGCCATCAGAGATTTGGGTGAAAGATGTATTTAAAATATTTTTTCTTTCCTCAACAAGCTAGGTATGGAAGGAGAAAAAGTTAATTGTGTGTGTGTGTGACAGGATCTCACTCTTACCCAGGCTGGAATGAAGTGGTGCAACTGTGCCTCACTGCACCCTACCTTCCTAGGCTCAAGCAATCCTCCCACCTCAGCCTCCCAAGTAGCTTGGACCGCAGGTGCGCACTACCACAGCTGGTTAATTTTTTTTATTATGTGTAGAGACAAGGTCTTGCTGTGTTGCTCAGGCTGGTCTCAAACTCATAGGCTCAGCGAGCGTCCCGCCTCAGCCTCCCAAACTGCCGAGATTCCAGGCATGAGCTACTGTGCCCAGCCAACTGTGAGTGACATTAGTTACACGAGTTCCCTTGTGTGTGGCTACAGGAAGCTCAGTGTCACCACTGGGAACTGGTCTGCATGTTCAGCCTATACATTCTTCTCTGTAATGTTCACATGCCTCACTTTTTTTTTTTTTTTTTTTGAGAACGAGTCTCACGCTGTCACCCAGGCTAGAGTGCAATGGAACGATCTTGGCTCCTGGAAACCTCCACTTCCTGGGTTCAAGTGATTCTCCTGCCTCAGCCTCCCAAGTAGCTGGGACTACAGGCATGTGCCACCACTCCCGGCTAATTTTTGTATTTTTAGTAGAGACGTAGTTTCACCATGTTGGCCAGGCTGGTCTCCAACTCCTGACCTCAAATGATCCACCTGCCTCAGCCTCCCAAAGTGTTGAGATTACGGGCGTGAGACACCGCACCCACCTACATGCCGCACTTTTAAGTTTTTGATATTTTGTCCTTGTAGGTTGCCTAAAACTCTGACCAAAGGATGGAGTGCGTATAAAGTCATACATCAATCTACAACAAAGGATAGCAAAACTATACAACAACTGGCTCCCATTATGCATTAAAACTGAGGATTCATTCTTGTGGATAGCCCCCAAATGCTAAAGCATACACTTCATAGCTGCATTTCTGATATTTTTCTATTTCAACGGCCTCAAAAACATCTGTTCTTTACAGGACAGATCCTTGACGCTTTGGAAATGGAAGGTTTGACCAACAGCACCCTTGTTTATTTTACATCAGATCACGGGGGTTCCCTAGAGAATCAGCTTGGAAACACCCAGTATGGTGGCTGGAATGGACTTTATAAAGGTAAGGCTGAGACGCTCCTAGATCCTGATCTTGCAGCTTTATCTCTTCGCTGCAGTTCCCAACAGGGCCATCTGTTCCAGGAGGGTCAGTGTTGTTGCCCATGGATATTGTTTTTTTCTGTCCAGGGTAAAAGTGATCATTCGTCATGCTCCGGGTTGAATTTTTCTTCCCGTACCAAACCAAGGGTTGGGCTGGTTATTCTGGTGGCCCAAAAATGAGATGCAGATGAACTGGGAGAGGAGGGACTTTATTTCCGTAACCGGCTACAGGGAGAAGGCCTGGACATTATTGCCAGGCCAACTCAAAATGACAAAGTTCTCCAGAGCTTCTATACCTTCCAAGCTGTATGTATACGTGTAAGTGTGCATACATCTAAAGACATTAGTCATTAACTTCTAATCTCTAACTAATGTCTGAGTCCTGAAGACCTTCCTCTGGAGCCTCAGTAAATTGACTTAATCTAAATGGGTTCAGGTGGCCAGGCATCATGGCTCACGCCTGTAATCCTAGCACTTTGGGAGGCCGAGGCGGGCAGATCACCTGAGGACAGGAATTCGAGACCAACCTGGCCAACATGGTGAAACTCTGTCTCTACTGAAAATACAAAAATGAGCCAGGTGTGGTGGTGCATAACGGTAGTCCCAGCTACCCGGGAGGCTGACGCAGGAGAATCCCTTGAACATGGGAGGCAGAGGTTGCAGTGAGTTGAGATCACGCTATTGCACTCCAGCCTGGGCGACAGAGACACTCCATCTCAACAACAACAAAAATTGATAAATAAATAAATGGGTCCAGGTGCCAGGGTTGATTACCCTTACCTTGTCTCTTGCTAAATCACGGAGGTTTGGGAAGGTTTTTCAGACTTCCAATAAAACTTGTTTAATCCTAAACGGGTCCTGTTGAGAATTCCTTCATTATCTTGTCATGCTTCAAGGCCCAGGAGAGGCCTGGGCAGAACTCTTGGTGGGCTTTTGTTACATCCCAGCCTTTGTATAAGGGCGCTGGCTCTCTCAGCTTTTAATATTTAACTTCACCACCCAGTCAGTGCTGACACAGTTGTTATGGAGGCCTGCGTTCGTGAGACGTGGCCTGCCACGTTTTTGTGCACAATTAAGGAGTTTTTAGTAAATTATCAGAGTTGTGTAACCATCATCATGTTGATGAAAAGAGCAAAACTCTGTAAAATTTTTGAAGAGATTTATTCTGAGCCAAATACTGTATGAGTGACCATGGTCTGTGGCACAGCCCTCAGGAGGCCCTGAGAACATGTGCCCAAGGCGGTCGTGGTGCAGCTTGGTTTATACATTTTGGGAAGGCATGAGACATGGATCAAATACATTTAAGGGACACATTGGTTGGGTCCAGAAAGGCGGGACAACTCAAAGCTGGGCGGCTTCCAGCTTATATGGAGATTTAAACATTTCCTGGATGACAATTCATTCAGTTTCTCTAAAGACCTGGGAATCAATAGAAGGGAATGTCTGGGTTAAGATAAAGGATTTTGGAGGCCAGGAACGGTGGCCCACGCCTGTAATCCCAGCATTTTGGGAGGCCAAGGCAGATGGATTACTTGAGGTCAGGAGTTCGACACCAGCCTGGCCAAGATGGTGAAACCCTGTCTCTACTGAAAATACAGAAATTAGCTGGATGTGGTGGTGTGTGCCTGTAATCCCAGCTACTAGGGAGGCTGAGGCAGAATTGCTTGAACCTGGGAGGTAAAGGTTGCAGTGAGCTGAGATTGTGCCACTGCACTCCAGCCTGGGTGACAGAGTAGGACTCTGTCTCAAAAAAAAAAAAAAAGAAGAGTAGACACCCAACTGGCCACATGATATTCACACCGGGATTCCATTGTTTTAATCACGCCATCATTTCATGTGCCACAAAGATTCTAAAACGCGCTGCCCGGTGTACATGACTTCACACTGCTGTGCTTGCACATTTTGTCATCTTCCTGCTTAGCGAGCTTTAGTTTTCATTCACTGAAAGAGACTTTTTAGGCTAATGTTGGCAAATATACCTGTGATGTATATTTACCTTTCTAGTAGATGGATACATCAGTCTAGTACATATGTAAAAGTGGAAATATAAATGCCAACCACATCCATTAATGCCTTCCCAAAATCTCTTCACATCGAGGGCCTGACTCCTCAGAAACCTTCTTTATCTCATTGCCATTGATGTTAATGTATCCTCTACGCGATCTGGTTCTCTGTACCATGAAGAATGTCAGTACTGTAAACTGGGGGCGCTTTAAACAGTAGGAATTTATCCTCTCCTGGTCCTGGAGACCAGGAGTTTGAGATCAAGTTGTCTCAGGGAAATGTTCGCTCCAGAAACTCTAGGGGAGGATCCTCCCAGCCTCTCCCAGCTCCTGGGGGCTCCAGCATCCCTGGGCTTGTGGGCACATCTCTCCAGTCTCTGCCTCCACATGGCCTTCTCCTCTGTGTCTGTGTCTCCTCTTCTGTCTCTTAGAAGAACGCCTGCCATTGCATTTATGGCTACCCTAATCCCGGATGATCTCAAAGTCCTTAACTTGATTAAATCTTCAAACACCCTATTTCTAAATAAAGTCTCATTTATAGGCTCTGGGGGATATGACAGGAACATGTTTTGGGGTCACCATTCAACACATTGCAGTTGTATCCACTTTCTTCCTGAGGCTCCAGGGGAGGGTCCTTCCCGCCTCTCCCAGCTCCTGAGGCACCAGGCGTCCCTGGCTTGTGGCCGCATCACTCCAGTCTCTGCCTCCGTCTCCACGTGGCCTCCTCCTCTGTGTCTCTATCTCCTCTTATAAGGACAGGAGTCATTTGCAGTGCAGGACCCAACTTAATCCAATGCACACTAACCAACAACAAGGTTAATAACAAATATAAAATCAATCCTTTGCCAGGAGAACTACATGAGATTGAATGTTGTAATGTTACCAAAACAGATAGAGCGAGAGAGAGAGAGAGCGAGAGAGAGACAGAAAGAAATTGAGACTCGGGAGAGAGAAACTTAAAACAAGTGAAACAAGCAGACAGGTGAACTCACCCCGGCTGAGCATCTGTTTCTCAGTTTTAACTACCTTCTTTTGTTTCTGTTCCAACACAGGAGGGAAGGGCACGGGAGGATGGGAAGGTGGGATCCGGGTGCCTGGGATCTTCCACTGGCCCGGGGTGCTCCCGGCTGGCCGAGTGATTGGTGAGCCCACGAGCCTGATGGACGTGTTCCCCACCGTGGTGCAGCTGGCGGGCGGTGAGGTGCCCCAGGACAGGTACCTAACGATCCAAAAAAATTCAGCTTTCCGCAGACACAGCAACACTTACGGCAAATGAAAATGTCACTTTGCCATTGCAGTAAGGGGTCTATGAAATTGTTCCTGGATGAAACCGAGGGTCAGGCTGCTTATTCTCATGGCCCAGTAAGGAGATGCAGATGAACTGGGAAAGAAATGAGTTTATTTCTGTAAACGGGTATAGGGAGAAGGTCTGGAAATGATCACTAGACCAACTCAAAATTACAAAGTTTTCCAGAGCTTAATGCCATCTAAACTGTACGTCCATGTGTAAGACTGTGTTCATCTAAAGACATAAGTGATTTAACTTCCTTTTCTGTAACTAAGGTCTGAGTCCTGAGAATCTTCCTCTGGAGCCTCAGTAAATTCATGTAATCTAGTTGGGTCCAGGTGCTGGGGTGATTACCCTTATCTTGTTTCCTGCTAAATCATGGAAGTCTGGGGAGTTTCTTTAGACCCCAAATAAAACTTGTTTAATTCTAAACGGGTCCTGTTGAGAATTCCTTCATTATCTTGTCATGCTTCAAGGCCCAGGAGAGGCCTGGGAAAAACTCGTGGTGGGCGTTCGTTGCATCCCAGCCTTTGTATAAGGGCGCTGGCTCTTTCAGCCTTTTTCTTTTCTTTTCTTTTCTTTTTTTGAGACCAAGTCTCACTCTGTCTCCCAGGCTGGAGTGCAGTTGTGCAATCTAGGCTCACTGCAGCCTCCGCCTTTTGGGTTCAAGCGATCCTCCTTCCTCAGCCTCCTGAGTAGCTGGGATTACAGGCGCCCGCCACCACACACGGCTAATTTTTGTATTTTTAGTTGAGACAGGGTTTCACCATGTTGGCCAGGCTGGTCTCGAACTCCTGACCTCAAGTGATCCACCTTCCTTGGCCTCCCAAAGTGCTGGGATGACGGGCATGAGTCACTGCATCAAGCCAATTAATTACTTTTTAGCCAAAGGTGATGTTTGGCGGTGACTGAAGTGGGTAGCTGCTGCATGCTTCTAAGCATGCTAATGCAACACATGCCTTCCATCCGTCCATGTCCACAGCCGGACCTTCCCTCCACTGATACAATATAAGGAGAGTGCAGCACCTGGGCTGGAGCTGGTGGATGCTGGAGGGACAAATGTCCAAAGTCCCTGTTCCATCCCTGAGCCCCACCATGTTCCTTCCTGCAGAGTGATTGACGGCCGGGACCTTCTGCCCTTGCTCCTGGGAACAGCCCAGCACTCAGACCACGAGTTCCTGATGCATTACTGTGAGCAGTTTCTGCACGCAGCCAGGTGGCATCAACGGGACAGTGAGTAGGGGAGCCCCTTCCTAACACCCTTCAGGGAGGAGTCCCTCAGCGCAGGAAAGCAGCAGGCCTAGAACAGGCTGGAGGAGGAGTTGCGTTCCAGAGTCCATCTCCAGCTCCATGTCTCGCACTTCCGTTTTTCTCCATGAGCTTTTTCATTTAGTTTTTCTCAATATGTGTCCCTCTTATTCCAGCAACATGCCTTCTAAGATCGCCTGTCAATCATCTTAAAATGATGGGAAGGGAGGGAGTTGTTACCTATAGTTTAAGCACCACGTATGGGCTGTATTTCCTTCTTTCTTCTGTGCACGATGTGAAGTGCAACTTTTATCACCCTCACACACACACATATATGTGCATACACACACACATGCTTGCCACACGTGTTCAAGACTTTTCTAGTCTCCTTTTTTCTTATTTTTTGTAATTATTTTTGGGGGAGTAGTCTTTCTTTATTGGTCAGGTTGGAGTGCAGTGGCATGATCTTGGCTCACTGTAGCCGCAGTCTCCTGGGGTCAAGCATGAGTAGCTGGGATTATAGGTGCCCACCACCATCCCTGGCTAATTTCTCATATTTTTAGTAGAGATGGGTTTTACCATGTTGGGCAGGCTGGTCTCAAAATCCTGACCTCAAGTGATCCACCTGCCTCGGCCTCCCAAAGTGCTGGGATTACAGGCATGTGCCACCACACCTGGCTTCCAATTTTTATTTATTAAATTGAAACAGGGTCTCAGTATGTTGCCCAGGCTGGTCTCAAACTCATGGGCTGAAGCGATCCCCCCATCTTGGCCTCCCGAAATGCTGAAGTGACAGGTGTGAGCATCTAGATGTCTGACCTTAACACGATTTCATCTTCTTTGTAAACAATTACAACTTCGTAACATAAGCAAACACATGCTTACTGAATACTTTTTGCCTCCCCAAATTTTCTAGGTCTTTTTGTTCTAATGTCCTATCAAAAGAGCTATGAAATCATTTGCAAGTTTAAAAAAGAAAAATTCCACAGAAATATTAATCATTTTTGCATCTGACGCTTTATTACCTTTATTATACTGGGTCTTCCCACACTGAAATATGCTACATTTCTCTGCTTAATTAATTCTACTTATTTAAAAATTATTCATTTCATCAAGCACTTGGCCCCTTGTCAAGTAATTGCATTGTCTTTTTTTTTTTTTTTTTTTTTTTTTGAGAGTTTTTTTTGCTTTGTTGCCCAGGCTGAAGTGCAGTGTTTCCATCTTGGCTCACTGCAACCTCTGCCTCCTGGGCTCAAGCAATCCTCCCACCTTAGCCTCCCAAGTAGCTGGGACTACAGGTGCATGCTACCACGACCAGAGAACTTTTTATTTTTTGTAGAGATGGGGGTCTCCCTACGTTGCCCAGGCTGGCATCAAACTCCTGAGCTCGTGCAATCCTCTTGCTTCAGCTTGCCAAAGTGTTGGGACTACAGACATGAGCCACTGCGCCTGGCCTTCATTGTCTCTTATTAATTAATTAATTAATTAATTATTATTTTGAGACCAAATCTCCCTCCACCATCCAGGCTAGAGTGCCGTGGTGTGATCTCAGCTCACTACAACCTCCACTGCCCAGGTTCAAGCGATTTTCCTGTCTCAGCTTCCCGAGTAGTTGGGACTACAGGCACCTGCCGCCACGCTTGGCTAATTTTTATATTTTTAGTTGAGAGAGGGTTTCACCTGTTGGTCAGGCTGGTCTTGAACTCCTGACTCGGGTGATCCACCCACCTCGGCTTCCCAAAGTGCTGGGATTACAGGCGTGAGCCACAGCACCCAGCCTATTTATTTTTAAGTTTCTGAGACAGCTCACTCTGTCACCCAGGCTGTGGTGCAATGCTGGGATATTGCTCACTACAACCTCCATCTCCCAGGTTCAAGCAATTCTCTTGCCTCAGCTTCCTGAGTAGCTGGCATTACAGGTGTGCACCACCATACCCAGCTAATTTTTGTATTTTTAGTAGAGATAGGGTTTCACCATGTTAGCCAGGCTGGTCTCGAACTCCTGACGAGGCAAGGTGATCCACCTGCCCATTTCGGCCTCCCAAAGTGCTGGGATTACAGGCGTGAGCCACCGTGGATGGCATTCATTGCCTTTTAATTGCCTGCATATTTATGGCTATGTTTATCAGAGTCTGACAGGGTCTTTCTGCCATTCTCTGTCATTTTTTTAAAAATCCAGCATTTGGATTTACTTAACAATGGTATTCTTTAATTTTATGAATGATTGATTTCGGCTTCTATCTTTGTGTTCAGACTCTTCAGAGAGTTCCACTTGTCTGACTTCACCCGCTTCTCTTTTCCTCCTTTATGCTTCTCTTTCTGTGACTTTGTCTTGCCTCGATGGTTTTCCTCTTTTTCGGACTTGCTTGATGGACTTGGTTTTCTTTTTCCAGTGTTTGAGAAGATCTGTATCCTTCTTGTGACTCAGTCAGCTAAAGAGTCCTCAAAGGCGTTGTGTAGGTATCTCCGGGTGTCTGAATCAAGACTGAATTTTTTTTTTTTTTTTTTTTGAGACAGAATCTTGCTCTGTTGCCCAGGCTGGAGTGCAGCGGTACAATCTTGGCTCACTGCAACCTCTGCCACCCGGGTTCAAGCCCGGGTTCTCCTGCCTCAGCCTCCCAAGTAGCTGGGATTACAGGTTCCTGACACCGTGCCTGGCTAATTTTTGTAGTTTTAGTAGAGACGGGGTTTCACCATCTCGGCCAGGCTGGTCTTGAACTCCTAACCTCGTGATCTACCTGCCTTGGCGTCCCAAAGTGCTGGGATTACAGGCATGAGCCACCGTGCCGTCCTAATTTTTGTACTTTTAGTAGAGACCAGGTTTCACCATGTTGGCCAGACTGGTCTCAAACTCCTGACTTCAGGTGACCCTCCTGCCTCGGCCTCCCAAAGTGCTGGGATTGCAGGTGTCAGCCACTGTGCCTGGCTGAAAAAAGATTGTTTACAGTCTTTTATTTGAAGGAGTTACAATAGATTTTTTTTTCTTAGTCTCTCTTCCTTTTCCTTCTCTTTGTTAAAATAAGTTGAACTTGAACCACTTGAATGCCCTGAACCTACTGTTGCTTCTTTTCCCTTCTGTTTTTTAAAATTTGTTTTCTTTGGTGTAGAGGTGGGGTCTCACTATGTTGCCCAGGTTGGTCTCAAACTCCTGGGCTCAATCAGTCCTCCTCCCTCAGCCTCCCAAAGTGCTGAGATTACAGGCCTGAGCCACCCCACCTGGCCTTCTTTCAATTAGTAGCCTAATCTGGAATTATTTTTATCTCTATATTTTTGGTGTTTTATTTACTTTCATTTTTAAAATTTTTATTATTTATTGAGATGGCGTCTCACTGTGTCACCCAGGCTGGAGTGCAGCAGCATGACGTCAGCTCACTGCAGCCTCAGCCTCTTGGGCTCAAGTGATCCACCTGCTTCCGCCTCCCAAAGTATTGAGATTACAGGCATGAGTCACCAAACCTGGCCCATTTTTTGTTATTCATTCATTCATTCATTTATTATCCTGAGACAAGAGTCTTGCTCTGTCACCCAGGCTGGAGTGCAGTGGTGTGATCTCACCTCACTTCAACCTTTGCCTCCAGGGATCCACGGATTCTCATGCTTCAGCATCCCTAGTAGCTGGGATTATAGGTGTGAGCCATGACACCGGGCTAATTTTTGTATTTTTAGTAGAAATGGAGGTTTCATCATGTCGGCTAGGCTGGTCTCAAACTCCTGACCACAGGTGATCTGCCTGCCTCAGCCTCCACTATTTTTCGATTTTTAAATTACATATTCTAGATGTTGCCTTTGAAGGTTTTTTTAACCTTTTCATCAGTAGCACAGCCTGACTTCCCATGGTTTCTGCTCAGCAGCTCAGATCACTGACGCCATGACGGCATCACTCGCCCCTCTCCTCCTGGCTATTGGATGAATTGTTTCGATGGTCGGGAGGTGGAGAGCGCATCCTCCTGCCCGTGCGCCCTCAGTGCTGCCCTGGCTGGCCCTCCCCAGTCCACTCCTCACCCCAGTGATTGCGCCTGCTGAGTGCATCCCCAAAAGGACCCCCTGCATGAAGGTCACGGCAAGTCTGAATTCCTGCTGGGGAGCTTGGAACACCTTCTTTCTGAAGCCAGCCCTGCCCTACCTCTGAAACCTCAGTCCTGATAACCGAAGCCCTGCAGTGTCCAAGTTCCAACTGTCGCGTACCCAGGGATCTGGGGACAGGCTCATCTTGTTCCTGCCTCAGGCCTTTGCACCAGCAGTTCCAACCACATGGAATGCACTCAGAGGACTGGCCCTCCACACAGCTGGTTCACTGTTGATGTGCCTGCCCTAAGTCAAATGTTACCTTCTCAAACAGGCTTCTGGGACCAAAACCAGTCCCCCGAACTGCACCCACACAGACCTCCACTATTAACTAGCCATCAGCAATCACGCGGACCCACTGTACTTAATTCTGAGCACTTACACCTGTCCACAATTTTCTCTTTTTTTTTTTTTTTTTCCTTTAAATAGAGGTGGAGTCTTGCTGTGTTGCCCGGGCTTGTCGCAAACTCTTGTATTCAGGGAATCCTTCCGCCTCGGACTCCCCGAGTGCTGGGGTTACAGGCATGAGCCACCGCACCCGCCGATTTTCTTGTTTCTGTGTCTGTTTTCCTCTGTTTGGGTCATCTTCTCTGCTAACAGTTCATCTGTCTTCTCGCTGGCTGCTTGACATTTTCCCTGCAGTATGACACCACTGCTGACATTTCATGAGGGCTTGCACCCAGTGTTCTGTGCCTCTACCTGCTAAATCATTTCACCTTGATAACTGGCAGACAACCGTGACCAGCCCATTCCACAGGTGAGAAAACAGAGACACTAGGCAGCAGGTCCAAGGAGCCCCTGTAAGTGCTCACAGGGTGGACATAAGTCACGGAGTTTCATCACTCAGCGAACATCCACAAATATCAAACCACAGTGGTGCCATTCCCAGGAGGCAGATCTCAGAGTGGGGTTCCGAATCCCACCGGCCATGGCAAGGAAGGCAGAGTGTGCTTGTCTGTCTGAGCACATCTCTTGGATGTCCACACCTGCTCAGTGCATGGCGACTGCCGGACGCCTTTGCAGGGAGGACAGCATTGCGGCACCGAGCCAACCCCTTGCTCTCTTACCCTCATGACTTTCCCAGACTCACTGCCCCACAGGATGCAATGGAAGGAACGTCAGAGACCTGGCTTAAAGCAGCTGAAGCCACACAGCCGAGGCGGTGTGGTGCCCAGTGTCCCAGGGCCCAGCAGGACGCTGCTGTGGGCTCAGTCACCATCTCTCCTTCCTCTCTTTCAAAGTCACTCCCTGAGGCTGAGTCTGCTCAGCTGCCACCTGCCTTCCACTTCCTAGATCTTCCTGGACGCTGGGGGTTATTCCTTATGGATTTTCTGTTTCTTTTTATCTTTCCCTCCCTCCCTTCCTTCTGTCTCTCTTCCTTTTCCTTTTTTCTGTTTCTTTCTCTCCTTTTTCTTTCTTCCTTTCTGTTTTCTTTCATCTTTCTTTCTCTTTCTTTTTTCTTTCTTTCCCTTCCTTCTCTCCTCTCTTCCTTTTCCTTCTGTTTCTTTCTCCTTTTTCTTTCTTCCTTTCTCTTTTCTTTCTTTTCCTTCCTTCCTTTCTTTCCTTCTTTCTTCCTTCCATCCCTCCCTCCCTCCCTTCCTTCCTCCCTCCCCTCCTTCCTTCCTTTTTTCTTCTTTCTTCTTTCCCTGCCTCTCTCTTCTCCCTTCCTTCCTTCCTTTCTTCTTCCCTACTTCCCTCTCTTCTTCCTTCCCTTTTCTTTGATTTGCTTCCCTCCTTCCCCCCTCCCTTCCTTCATTCTCTTCCTTTTCTCTTTCCTTCTTCCTCCGTTCCTATTCCTGTTGGTGCCTTCATAGCCAGAGTGACAGGGCTTATACAAAATTTCATTGAGAACGGCTGATCACATGCCATTTTAAATCTCTGAGAATTCAATTATGAAACCGCCTTCCACTGTTTATTTTTAACAAGCAAACAAGCAATTCTATTTTTAAGAAAACTTTTTCATTTTTTTAATACTGCTCCTGTGGAACAGGACTAACTTGTAGGCAGTGCACCCACCATCAGCTGCAATTCACTTTTTTCAACAGCTTTAATTTAAAGAGATATAATTCACTAATGTAAAATCGACCTAGTAGGCTGGGTGCAGTGGCTCACATCTGTAATCCCAGCACTTTGGGAAGCCAAGGTGGATGGATCACTAGAGCCAGGAGTTTGAGACCAGCCAGTCCAGCATGGCAAAACCCCCGTCTCCACTAAAAATACAGGTTAATCGGGCATGGTGGCACACACCTGTAGTCCCAGCTACTTGGGAGGCTGAGGCAGGAGAATCACTTGAACCTGGGAGACAGAGGTTGTAGTGAGCCGAGATCACATCACTGCACTCCAGCCTGGGTGACAGAGCAAGACTCTGTCTCAAAAAAAAAAAGAAGAAGAAACAACTGACCGAGTGCAATTCACATGCATTTTGTGCTTTCACAGCGTTGTGCAACCGCCACATCTATGTGGCTGCAGAACACTTCCGTCACCCCGTTTCACCCCCGGCAGGCCCTGGAAACCACCACTCCTTGGCATTCTATATGAATGGAATCAGGGTATTTTCCAAGTTCATCGACATTGCAGCCTGTGTCAGTGCTTCCCTCCTTTTCATAGCTGCATAGTATTCCATTGTACAGACATACCATGTTCTCTTTATCTGTTCATCCATGGATGGACGCTTGGGTTATTCCTGCCTTTTATCCCTTAGGAAGATGCCATTCTCCATCAATGCACCCTATTTCTCTATGCCAACCCTGTAATTCCTGTCTTTCCACCAGGAGGAACACTATGGAAAGTCCACTTTGTGACCCCAGTGTTCCAGCCAGAGGGAGCCGGTGCCTGCTATGGAAGAAAGGTCTGCCCATGCTCTGGGGAAAAAGTAGTCCACCATGATCCACCTTTGCTCTTTGACCTCTCAAGAGACCCTTCCGAGGCCCACGTCCTCACGCCAGCCTCAGAGCCCTTGTTCTATCAGGTGATGGAACGCGTCCAGCAGGCTGTGCGGGAGCACCAGCAGACACTCAGCCCGGTCCCTCTGCAGCTGGACAGGCTGGGCAACCTCTGGAGACCATGGCTGCAGCCCTGCTGTGGCCCATTCCCCCTCTGCTGGTGCCTTAGGGAGGATGACCCACAATAAATGTGAGCAATGGAAAGCTGGAGCCCTGATTCCTAAATTGCATCACTCAAATGGAAACAAACCAGCTGCACATGCTGGCTGTCATTCCACAACTTTAGGAGGCCACCGCCGGAGGCTCACTTGAGGCCAGGAGTTCAAAACCAACATGATGAAACTCTAGCTCCACAAAAACAAAAATACAAAAATTAGCAGGCACGGTGGCACATGCCTGTAGTCCTAGCTACTCAGGAGGCTAAGGCAGGAGGATCATTTGAGCACAGGAATTGGAGGCTGCACCCCAGCCTGGGCAACAGATCAAGAGCCTGTCTCAAAAAAGAAAGAAAACAAAAAATGAAACAAACCTCAGCATCATGTTAAGGCATCTGCTTGCACAAGGATGAATAGTTCCTCCCTGTCAAAAAACAAAAAGGCAAGAATAAGAGAAATGAGCAATAAACATTGGCCAGGCACACTGGCTCATGCCTATAATCCCAGTACTTTGGGAGGCAGCGGCGGGCGGGTCACTCAAGGTCAGGGGTTCAAGATCAGCCTGCAACATGGTGAAACCCTGTGTCTATCAAAAAAAATAAATAAATACTCAGGCGTCGTGGTGGGTGCCTGTAATGCCAGCTACTCAGAAGGCTGAGACGGGAGAATTGCTTGAAGCCAGGAAGCAGAGGTTGCAGTGAGCTGAGATCACACCACTGCACTCCAGCCTGGGTGACAGAGCAAGACTATGTCTCACCAAAAAAATTACAAAATAAATAGATAAACATTAATAACGCACTGGTGAATGGTCACTCAGGCACCCAAACTGGAGACGCAGAGTATCTCCTGGATGGGGAGGATTCTATCAATGGACCCCAGCTCTGTCTGGAAGAGGCTGCCTTGTAGCCCCAAACAGTACAAGTTCCAGAGAAGGTGTCTCTGTGACCTACAGATGTGCACATGAACAGAAGATAGGCCCCAAAGATAAAACCTGGCACCGATGTGGCTTTGTGGTGCCCATTTCTAGGGTCTGTTTATCATTTCCAACCACAAGCGTGAACTGGGCTTTCCGCTGGAAGTGTTTTTCAAGTGGTTTTCCTTTGTGCCAAATGCCCCAGGGGATTGGGGAAAACTGGAGATCTGGAAGCTGTGCTGTGCAGGCAGCTTCCTTCCCAGCTCTGAGCTGCAAGGTCACTGCGGGACCAGGCTGTGCCTTTATATGTCTGGGCTACTAGAACAAAAATACCATAAACTGGGTATCAACAAGAATATTGATTTCTTGCAGTTCCAGAGGCTGGATGTCCAAGACCAGGGCGGGGCAGAATCTGTGTCTGGGGAGAAACTGTTTCTTGGTTCACAGCTGCCACCTTCTTCCTATGTCCTCACACGGTCATCCCTCTGTGCCTGTGTCATCTCCAATTACTTTTTTTTTTCTTTTTTGAGACAGAGTCTTGCTCTGTTGTCCAGGCTGGAGTGCAATGGCTCGATCTTGCCTCACTGCAACCTCCATTTCAGGTTCAAGGAATTCTCCTGTCTCAGCCTCCCGAGTAGCTGGGATTACAGGCGTGTGCCACCATACCTGCGATAATTTTTGTATTTTTTTAGTAGAGGCAGGTTTTCAGCAGTTGGCCAGGCTGGTCTGGAACTCCTGACCTCAAGTGATCTGCCCACCTCGGCCTCCCGAAGTGCTGGGATTACAGGTGTGAGCCACTGTGCCGGCCCTAATCTCCTTTTCTTATAACGATCCCACTCCTATTGGAATGGGGTCCACTCTTGTGACCTCATTTTAATAAAGACGAATAGAAACCTTATTCCCGTGAACTTGAGGGCAACACAATTCAGTCCCCAACACGTTATCTCCTGGGAGTCAGGAGGTCTTTCCAATAGTTCTTTCACCTCCACATTCAAGCAACAGGTACCTCCTCCACTCTTCCAAGCCTAGGCATGTGACGAGGCATGCTCCACCTTGTCGCCGCCTCAAGAACGTGTCCTCAAATTATCCAATCCACATCAGCCTCCAAGAATTCAGGCTGTCCATAGAGACCAAAAATGTCAAATCCATCTCCAGCCAATTCTTTTGGGTAAAGAAAGAAAGAAATAGTAGGCCAGGTGCAATGGTTCACATCTGTAGTCCTGGCACTGTAGGACACCACGATGGCTTGAAGTCAGGAGTTTCAGACCAGCTGGGGTGACATAGCGAGACCCTGCCTCCACATAAAATTTAAATAATTAGGTGTGGTGGCATATGCCTGTAGTCCCACCTATTTGGGAGGCTGAGGGGGGAGGATCACTTGAGCCTTTGGCCTCCCAAGGTGTTCAAGGCTGCACTGAACTATGATTGTGCCACTGCACTCTAGCCTGGGTGACAGGGCGAGACCTCGTCTCTAAAAAGAAAGGAAGGAAAAAATGGCATGAAGGGAGGAAAAAAGGGAGGAAGAGAGAATGAAAGAAAAGGAAGGAAAGGAAAGAAGCAAAAAGAAAAAGAAAGGGAGGGAGGGATGGCAGGAGGGAAGCAGTGAACCTCTGTGGCTTTCCCCATAGCCATGGATATGGAAGAAGACCAGCACTTTGGGTCAGCTGTGCCGATGTCCCCGGACCAGAGAGTCACCTTTAAGTTCTTCAGCAGCCATTGGAGAGAGTCACCTCTGTCTCCACACCTGTCCACACTCTTCACCCTGATGGCTTTGAAGCCAAAGTCCCCACGGAGGCTCCACGTGCCTAAAGTCATGTGAGACCCTCAGGGTCAAGGTTCAGCCACCCTTCGCATCCCCACAGCCTCCCCCAAACGTGACTTCTGCCTCCAGGCCCCATTTCCAAATCCTGAGCACCCAAGTCAGCTCAGAACATTTAGAGAATTTACCTAAGCACAACCAGGGCTCTTTTCTCAGTAGGTCTCACCGTTGACAGCCTCAGCCTTGGAAGAAGAATGTACTGTTATCTTGAAGACTATGGAATTATTTTGCCCCCGAGCAGTGGAAGAGGAAATAAGCATCCCCTTTGACAGAAAGTGGGTCACCTGCGTTGTAAGCTAGCATTTCCTACAAAATATGAATTGATACTTTTGAGCAGATCTTGTGTTTTCTGTGGGATGTGAGGGGATGAGGTAAGACGTGCAGGGGCTTGAGAGAATCCGTGACTAGAGGTCGAGAGAGTTAAAGACAAGGCTCACTGCAGCCTCAGCTCTCAGCCTTGACCTTTCTAGAGGTCGAAAGAGTTCAAAACAAAGTAAAACAAACAAAAAAAGGGGCACCAAAGATACAAAAAAAGAATTACCTGAGAGAGTAATGAGCAAAACTGCATCATTCAAAAACAAAACAGTGAGTCACAGAAGAGATGGGGAGGGTCCAGCGCATGGTGCTAATCAAAAGGAGTAATTCTAGCAGCAGTCTGATGAATGGAACAAAGATAAAAATAGCAATTGGAATTTAGCTGGGCTAGTGGCGCCACCTGTAGTCCCAGCTCCTCGGAGGCTGAGGTAGAGAATCTCTCGAACCTGGGAGGCAGAGGTTACACCGAGCTGAGATCGCGCCACTGCACTCACCACTGCAGTCCAGCCTGGGCGACAGAGTGAGACCCTATCTCAAAATAATGATAATTAATAATAGTAATAAAAGAAAAAACAAAGGGTCCATCTAGCATTCCCCACGCCAGACTTAGAGCACAAGTGCAGCATCCTGAACAGACATTTCAAACACCAACCTTGGAGAAACTGAAATCGCAGCTTGATTGTGCTGGGCAGGTCCTAAGACTCTTCCCGGCAAAAAGAAAAGGGACTCCCCCTGCTCCAGCATAACTGTTTTTTTTTTTTTTTTTTAATTATTTATTTATTTATTTATTGAGAGGGATTGTCACTCTGTCGCCCAGGCTGGAGTGCAATGATGTGGTCTCAGCTCACTGCAACCTCGGCCTCCTGGGTTCAAGCGATTTTCCGGCCTCAGTCTCCCGAGTAGCTGGGATTACAGGCATGCGCCACCATGCCCAGCTAATTTTCGTATTTTTAGTAGAGACGGGGTTTCGCCATGTTGGCCAGGCTGGTCTCGAACTCCTGGCCTCAGATGATCCAGTCGTCTAGGCCTCCCAAAGTGCTGGGATTACAGGCGGGAGCAAATGCGACCGGCCAATCCTAACTGGGTTTAATCAGCTCCTCATTAGCCCCGGCCTCCCCGGGTGACGACCTGGGAAAACCTGTTTCCACGCGCAGGTCCCAGAGGCTCAGAGAGGCAGGAGGTGACGCGGCTGAAGGAGGGGTGGGGGCACAGCCCAGATTCCGCAGCTGCGAGGGCGAGGCCTTGGCACTGGCGGAGCCCGGGGGCGGAGTGCGCGGGGCCAGGTCCTGAGCTCCGGGGCAGCGCTCCGCCATGGGATCCGCCGCGCGGAGGGGACGCGCCGCGCCCGCCGCCAGGTGCCAGGGACCCCGGGACGTGGACCACACGAAGGCCTAGGGTGGGACCCTGGGGAGGGGGTCGCGAACACCGGGAGGGGCGCCCCGGGCAAGCCTGGGCCCCTGTAACGGGCGTGGCTGAGTCCGGCGCCTGGGAGTCCCCAAAATGCAGCTGGAGGAGCGTTGGGTGCCCAGGACAGACGCAAGACACCAGAGCCCAGGGGTAGGGGCGACTGCAGGGACGAGGGGGCGTGGAGGAGACTGAACGGAAGGGAAGGTGGAAGGGCAGGGAAAGAGAAGAAACGAGGAAGGGCAGGGAAGGGAAGGGAAGGGCGGGGCGGGGAAGGGAAGGCGGAGGAAGGCAGGCCGAGGCCAGAGGGAGTGGAAGCTGCGTGGGTCACGCCCTGCCGAGTCCTCCGCCTTCCACCCACAGCTACACCGCGACCGGGATTCGCCCTTCCACGGCTCCCTAAGACCGGACTCGAACCGCCGCCGTTTCCGCCCCCCTAAGACGCGCCCCGTCCCTTCCCAAGGCTCCATCCACCAAAGCGCAGCCTTGCCCGCCCCTAGCACTGCCAAGCCCCGCTGCACTTCCTAAGACGCGCCCGGTCCTGCCTTCCCGGCTCCATCTGCGCCCAGGTGTCACCGGGAAAGCGTCGTGACTGTACGTTGTCCAGGTTCTTGAGGTTTTGAACAAAGAATTGGACAAAATGAAGCAACAAAAGAAGGAAAGCAGGGATGTATTGAAAACGAAAGTACACGCCACAGTGTGCGAGCCGACCCAGCGGCGGCCCAGGGGCTCCGATGCAGAATCTTCTAGGGCCCAAACAACCCCTAGACTTTTCCCATTGGCCACCTCATACCCCACGTCACTGAAGTGGTGGCCCGCGATCAGCCTGATTGATTGCAGATAGCCGGAGGTCGAAGTGAGCTTACAAAGGTCACACTCTTGTGCAAACATCTCACTGGTTACACAAAGCAACTCATCAGAGGCTTAGGGTGACGTCGCGAAGTTGCAGATGAAGACTGAACTCGAAACAGTCTGATTTGTTGCAGACACCACTTTCCCACCTGCCCAGGAGAAAAGTTCAAAGGGAGTAGCCTCTGCTCCTCTTGTTACTTAGGCGTGGAAAGTTAGGATTTTCCTGCTGGGCGCGGTGGCTCATGCCTTTAATCCCAGCACTTTGGGAGGCTGAGGCAGGTGGATCACCTGAGGTCAGGAGTTCGAGACCAGCATGGCCAATATCGTGAAATCCCTAAAGAAAACAATTAGCTGGGCCTCTACTAAAAAGACAAAAAAATTAGCCAGGCGTGGGGCGCGTGCCTGTAATCCCAACTACTCCAGAGGCTGAGACAGAAGAATCGCTTCAACCCAGGAAGCCGAGGTTGCAGTGAGCGGAGATCACTGGAGACTCCGTCTAATAAATAAATAAATACAAACAAGAAAGGAAAGCTAGGCTTTTCCTTTCAATTTAGTTCCAGCAAGTCGGCGTGAAAGCCTTAGGTTCCCTGCCTCCGGACTCGACTCTCCTGCCTCCCTCTCACCACCCTCCAAGACACGTCTCTTCCTGTTCCTTTCCGTGGCCACTGTCCTACTGGTCACACCGCATCTCCTCCTGCGCTTACTCCCCCTCTGCCCCGCAGTAAAGCCCTGTAGCCCCAAACACCCTGAGACACACCCCTCGTTCATGGTCTCCCTGGAGAGCAGGGCCATGATCCCCCAACACCAAGACACCACCCATCCGCTGCACGGCCCTGTCCCCTCCAGCCCCAACACCGCCTGGTGCTCCCTACTCTAAGACGCAACCCCTCCCGCCGCCAGGCTTGCCCCTGTGCCTCCCGGAGCGAAACCCAGATGCCCACACTGTCCGACTGCTGTCGCTCCAGGGCACAGCCCGGGAACCCGCGCCCTGCTGGGTTCCTGGACATGCTGGAGATCCCAGCCTGGAACGAGCGAGCCACATCCCATCGCGCCTCTGTAGGCTCCCCTAGAGCTGGAGCAGCGCCACACCGAAGAAGCCAGGAGCTGGGAGGAGGCCGCGGGGCCTGTGTCCCTGACGGCTCTGAGCCGGCAGAGCCTAGGATCTCCTTTCCACGTGGATGCTGGACTGCCCCTGGCCCTCATTGGTGGCAACTCCTTTCCAAGGCGCCCTTCAAATCTTGCAGTTACAGCCCGACGGTGCTGGTTCACGCCTGTAACCCCAGCTCATTGGGTTGTAAAGTAAGGATGAGTGTTTCCATGAGCTGAGAAGAGGAGCTTGGCTTTGTAGGCAAGAAAGAGCTGAAGAAAGCAGAAATAAAGAATTAAAGCCTGGGCAACATAGTGAGACCCCACCTCTAAAAAAATACTAGTCAGGCGTAGTGGTGTACACTACATCTTGTGGTCCCAGCCTCCGGAAGCTGAGGTGAGAGGATTGATTCAAGCCGTTCAGAATCAGGCAGAGGTTGCAGTCAGCCATGATCACGCTGCTGCACTCCAGCCTGGGCAACACAGCAAGACCCCATCTCAAAAAAAAGATTAAAAAAAAGAATAATAAAGCAGATTGGTTGTTTCAAAGTTACTTTTCTTACAGGGTTAAAGCATGGGAGACTTTCTTAGCTCAGGTGAACTAAGCATCTTCTTTTTCCTTGCTGGTATCTTCTGTTTTTTGGAAAACTGGCCTGTTTCCTCGCTCGGCTTGGTGATGTGGCAGTGAGCACAGTGACTGCATTCCAGTTTGTTCCGATCTGTATGGTCTGGTGTGGCAGGCGAGGTCTCACGAACTGTGTCAGCACTGACGGAGTGGTGAAGTTAAACATTAAAAGCCGAAAGAGCCAGCGACCATATACAAAGGCTGGGATGTAACAAAAGCCCACCAAGAGCTGTGCCCTGGCCTCTCCTGGGCCTTGAAGCATGACAAGGTAATGAAGGAATTCTTACCAGGACCCATTTAGGATTAAACAAGTTTTATTGGGGGTCTGAAGGAAATCCCCAGACCCTCACAAACAAGCTTTATTGGGGACTAAAGGAGCCAAGATAAGGGTAATCACCCCACACTTGGACCCACTGAGATTAAATCAAGTCACTGAGGCTCCAGAGGAAGGTCCTCAGGACTCAGACCTTAGTTACAGATGAGAAGAAGTTAACCACGATGTCTTTAGCTAAATGCAAACTTACACTTAGACATATAGCTTAGAAGGATACGAGCTCTGGAAAGTTTTGTAATTTTGAGTTGGTCTGGTGATAATTCCCAGGCCTTCCTCCTATAACTGGTGACGGAAATAAAAACTCTCCCCTTTCCCTGCTCATCTGCATCTCATTATTGAGCCGCAAGAATAAGCAGCCTGACCCTCGGTTTGGTTCAGGGACACTAGATCAGGCCAAGACAATAACCTCCCATAAACTTTAATGTATTAATTTGGTGGTAAAACCTTCGCCTTCTCAGCGAGCTGCCTTGAAATGTCCGCTTCCTGCGCCAAATGGTAAACAGTCATTTCTGTATTCTGCTTTTCTCTCCAGGGACTGCCTGCCGGTGCTACTGCTTTTCTGCCTGCTCCTGAGGACCTGTGAACCGAAAGCTGCAAACGCCTTTAGACCAAATATCCTACTGATCATGGCTGACGACCTGGGCATTGGGGATCTCGGTTGCTATGGGAACAAAACGCTGAGGTGCAGTTGGCTGTTGTCATTGGTGATGATGTCATGCTGTTTGACTGAATGGTGCATTTAAAACCTGCCTGAAGAAATTAGGAAACTCCTTAGGGCCTCAGAACCCAACCCCACAAAAAATGATTTACCAACAGGTAAAAGGGCCCTTTTAATCGACACAGAACTGCCGAGTGAGTGAATGTATTCTTACCACAAAATGAGTAGCTTAAAACAACAGGAATTTGTTCTCCCAGGTGTGCAGACCAGAAGTCTCAAATCCAGGTGCGGGCAATGCCGGGCCCCCTCTGGGGGTCCTGGGGAGGCTCCTTCCCGCCCCTGCCAGCTCCGGTCAGCCCGCATCACTCACTCCAGTCCGCCTCCATCTCCACGCGGCCTCCTCCTCTGTCTGTGTCCTAATCCCCTCGTCTGATAAGGACACGGTCATTGCAGCAAGGCCCGCCTGCCGTAAACATGTCTTCTCTTCATTACGTTTGCAAACACCCTCTTGTGGGCCGAATTCTGGCCTCCTCCAAATGTGTAGGTTGAAGCCAGATCGGGCTGTGACAGTATTCAGAGATGGGGTCTTTGGAGAGGTAATTAAGTTAAACTGAAGTCCTTAGGGCGAGCCCTAATCTGATATGGGTTACTAAAAGAGGAGATTAAGACCCAGACAGAGCTCCCTGAGCGGCAGGGGGGCTCCTTCCCTGTCTCCGGCTCCTGGGGGCTCCAGCTGTCCCTGGGCTTGTGGCCGCATCACTCCAGTTTCTGCCTCTGCCCCCACGTGGCCTTCTTCTCTGCCTCTCCTCTTCTTTCTCTTAGAAGGACACTGGTCATTGCATTTAGGGCCCTCTCTAAACCAGGAGGATCTCATCTCGGGATACCTAACTAATAACACCTCCAAAGACGGTGTTTCTAAGCAAGGCCCCCCACACAGGTTTGGGGGGTCAGCATGTGGACAGGTCGGTTCGCAGACCCCCATTCAGCCCCTATGCCAGCCCTCCCAGCAGCGCGCCTGAGTGGAGAAAAGCTGAGAAACCTCCTTATTCCATTTGGTAGGCGTTTCTCCTAGAAGGACCACCCAGAATGGAGGCTGCATCTGCTTTTCAGTGGCTGCCAACCCCAGGGCCAGTCCCCACAGACCAGGCCTCCCTTCTTCGAAGTGGACATTGCAGCGCCTGCAGCAGTCTGCCCTGTGTGGGCCGGCGTGGTGGCTCACGCCTGTCATCCCACCACTTCGGAAGACCAAGGTGAGGGATGACTTGAGCCCAGGAGTTCTAGACCACCCTGGGCAACATGACGAAACCCTGTCTCTATGAAAAATACAAAAAATTAGCCAGGCATGGTGGTGCATGCCTGTAGTGCTGGCTACACGGGAGGCTGATGGCTTGAGTCCTGGAGGTGGAGGTTACGGTGAGCCGAGATCACGCCACTGCACTCTAGCCTGGGCCACGGAGAGAGACCCTGTCTCTAAATCAGTCAATTAATCAGTCAGTCAATCAATCTGCCCCCTGTCCAGGGATCCCGTTCAAATATCCTGAGCATGCCCAGTTATAATTCACAGAACATAATGGTTCATCTGTTTACAGCGCACAGTTCAGGGACTTTTAGTCTATTCGCAGAGTTGTTCATCCTTCACCACAAACCATGTTACGGCATTTACATACTCCCAAAGAAACCCTGCACCCCTCGAGCCATCACCTTCAGCTAGGGGCTAATCTGTGTCCCCTAAATTCCTACATTGAAGTCCTAACCCCCAGGACCTCAGACTGTGACTCCATCTGGAGACTGGGTCTTTCCAGAGGTGATCAGGTAAAATGAGGCCACTAGGCTGGGCCCTGATCCAGTAGGACAAGGGTCCTCATAAGAAGAGGAGATGAAGACACAGACACACATAGAGCGGTGACCGTGCGAGGACACAGGGGGAAGATGGAGTCCATGAGCCCAGGAGAGAGGTCTCAGGAGGGACCAGCCCTGCCCATGCCTTGATCTCGGACCTCCAGCCCCCAGAAATGCGGGAGAATCAATGTCGGCTGGGTTTGTTTATGTGTTTTGTTTTTTGTGTCAGGGTCTCATTCTGTTGCCCAGGTTGGAGTCCCGTGGCGTGATCACAGCTCACTGTAACCTCCATCTCCTAAAGCTATCCTCCTGCCTCAGCCTCCCGAGTAGCTGAGACTACAGGCACACTCCAGCACGCCTAGCTAGTTTTTGTATTTTTTGTAGAGACAGATATTCACTATGTTGCCAAGGCTGGTCTTGAACTCCTGGCCTCAAGTAATCCACCCACCTCGTCCTCCCAAAGTGCTGGGATGACAGGCATGAGTTGCTGTGCCAAACCATATCTGGTGTTGAAGCTGGCTGGCGTGTAGGACTTCGTCAAGGTAGCCCCAGTTAACACTCCTCCAACTCGCTCAGCACCCCAAACCTCAGCCTGTGGCATCCGTAACCTGCTTTCCATCTCCACAGGCTCCCTGTTAGGGACATTTCATCTGAATGAAATGATGTAACCTGGGGTCTGTCTTTCTTTCTTTCTTTTTTTTTTTTTTTTTTTTTTAGACAGAGTCCTGCTCTGTCACCAGGCGCCAGGCTGGAGTACAGTGGCACAATCTCGGCTCACTGCAATCTCCACCTCTGGGGTTCAAGCAATTCTCCTGCATCAGCCTCCCTAGTAGCTGGGACTACAGGCACGCGCCACCATGCCCAGCTGATTTTTGTATTTTTTTTAGTAGACACGGGGTTTCACCATGTTGGCCAGGATGGTCTCGATCTCTTGACCTCGTGATCCGCCCGCCTCGGCCTCCCAAAGTTCTGGGATTACAGGCGTGAGCCACTGCGCCCGGCTAACCCAGGGTCTTTCAAGTCAGGATGCTTTCACAGAAGACTATGTTTTCAGGGTCCCGCCCTGTGGTGGCAAGCCTCAGACTGTGCCCCACACCTTGTAGTGGCTGAGGAATATTCCATTCTATGTGCATAGCTCTTTTTGGAGGAGACAGGGTCTCACTCTGTTCTGTCACCAGGCTGGAGTACAGTGATACCATCTCTGCTCACCGCAGCCTCCGCCTCCTGGGCTCAAGCGATTCTCCTGCCTCAGCCTCCCGAGTAGTGGGGATTATGGGCCTGCGCCACCTTCCCTGGCTAATTTTTGTATTGTTTTTAGTAGAGACGGGGTTTTACCATGTTGACCAGGCTGGTCTTGGACTCCTGACCTCAAGTGATTGGCCCACCTTGGCTCCCAAAGTGTTGGGATTACAGGCGTGAGCCACTGCACCCGGCCCTCACTGTTTTTTGATATCTGATGCTGAAAGATTTTAGGCCTCACCTCTCTGTGCCCCACATCTGCACAGGCAGGTAAGAATGCACAGGGACTTTATCCTTCGGTGCTAACGGCAGAGTCAGACCGTAAAAGCCCCCACCCTTGCATGGGAACCGTCATCCCAGCCCCACACCCTCCCCACAACTAAAAAAATAAACCTTCTCTCTTTGCTTCCTTATTTCAAACAAGTTTGGAAGGTCTGCCCTGCTCTCCCTAGAAAGCCTCATTATATGGGTCATAAATTGTCTCATGTGCTGTGTGTGTGTGTGTGTGTGTGTGTGTGCGCGTGCGATATCCATCTCAACATCAAAACCAAACTTAGGGTAGGGTCCATCTGCCTCTGCAGGACCGCATACATAATGTGATGAATTCTGAAATCCAGCGAAGTCCTGGCGGTCTATTCCTCAGCCTTTCAGAGCCAAATGCGTGTCTCCTAACAGTGATTTCTGTGTGCTTTCCCCAGAACGCCGAATATTGACCAGCTTGCAGAGGAAGGCGTGAGGCTCACTCAGCACCTGGCGGCCGCCCCGCTGTGCACCCCCAGCAGAGCCGCATTCCTCACGGGGAGACATTCCTTCAGATCAGGTTGGTGTCATGGAGATGATGGAGAAATGGGCACGTCTGTGTCCACTCATTCTATCATCTGTAACAGTTGAGTACTGATGGTGAAGACAGGTGGGAAATGGTACAAAGATTATCTGCAATTCATCATCTTCCTTGTATTTATGTAAGGAATATTGTATTGTGTGTGTACACATAAAAGTTGTGGCCAGGCGCGATGGTTCACTGTAATCTCAGCATTTTGGGAAGCCGAGGCGGGCAATGCATGAGGTCAGGAGCTTGAGACCAGGTTGGCCAACATGGCAAAACCCCATCTCTACTAAAAATACAAAAATAAGCTGGGCGTGGTGGCTTGTTCCTGTAATCCCAGCTACTAGGGAGACTGAGGCAGGAGAATCGCTTGAACCTGGGAGGTGGAGGTTGCAGTGAGCTGAGATCATGCCATTGCATTTTAGCCTGGGCTACAGAGCGAGACTCCATCTCAAAAAAAAAGTTGTGATCACTGGGATGTGAACAGCGAAACCAAAGTCTGTGGAATATTTTAAAGAGGTTTATTCTCAGCCAGTATGACTGATCACAAGACCGAGTGTCTTTTAGAGAGTAAAGTTTCCCCAAGTTGAGAATCACTGTGATATAGATAGATAGATGATAGATAGATAGACAATGATAGATAATGGATGATCGACAGCTAGATATCTAGATGATGATGATACATAATGACAGATGATTGATAATGATGTGATAAATGATTGATAGCTACATAGCTAGATGATAATTAATAGATAATGACAGATGATAGAAAGTGAAGAGATGATAGCTAAGGATAGCTGATTGATAGCTGGATGATTAATGGTAATGATAGCTAATAGATACATGGATGGATAGACACAGATGATAGGTCATGGATACGTATTGAGACAGACAGGTGACAGCTAGGCAGACAGATAGACATATGACAGATACTATAGAGTCTGTCATCGTAAGGTAAGATGTCTCTGTTTTGGCACCATGGACATTTGGCACTAGATGATTCTCTGTGGGGGACTGTTCTGTGCGCTGGATGTAGGGCTCCACGCACCACATCCCACCCTTTCTGAGTTGGGACAACAAAACCATCTCCAGACATTGCCCACGCTCATTATTTCGAAAATAGTGTGATTGATAGATAGATGATAGATAGATAGATAGATAGATGAATGATAGATACACAGATAGACAGATAGATGGTAGATAGATGATGGATGGATCTATCTATCCATCATCTATCATCTATCTGTCTATCTGTGTATCTATCATCCAGATAGATAGACAGACAGATAGATAGGCAGATAGGTAGATAGACAGACAGTTGACAGATGATAGATAGGTAAATCATTGATAGCTTGATACGTGATAGATGGAAGATAGATGACAGCAGTGTGGCCCGGGTGCACAAATCCAGATCTCAGACACCAAAGCCCCCTGGTTGGGAACTACTCCTCTAGAGAAGGGAGAGTAAATTCTTCCTCTTTTCCTGTCCCACAGGCATGGAGGCCAGCAATGGATACCGGGCCCTCCAGTGGAATGCGGGCTCAGGTGGACTCCCCGAGAACGAAACCACTTTTGCAAGAATCCTGCAGCAGCGTGGCTATGCAACTGGCCTCATAGGTGTGGAGACGTGGGAGCCTCACGTTATACGGTGGTTGAGAAGATCCGTGATCAAAAAGATCCTGTTTTCTTGCAAAGGAAACAATCCTGTGTCCTCTGAACCGGAAATTGGTGCCTGGTCCATTTCATGCCTATTGCATTGTCCGCAGTTTGGGATGAGGTTTTTTCTTTTCTTTTTTTTTAAAGACTGGGTTTCACCATGTTGGTCAGGCTGGTCTTGAACACCCGACCTCAGGTGATCCGCCCACCTTGGCCTCCAAAGTGCTTGGATTACAGGCATAAGCCACCACGCCCGGCCGGTTTTTTCTTTTTTAATTCAAAATCCTAGGAGGTTGCCCTCCTTTCCTCTCTGGACCTATCAGTCTTCAGCTTGTCCCCGTTTATCACGACTTTCAGACATTATCTTTGTCTACATGGCCTCTCACCACATCGAAGCCCCCAGGGTGAAGAAACACTGCCTTCCTTTACACAACGAGCCCCAGCAGGGTCACAACACCCTCTTCATAACAGACAGCATGTCAGGGGTCTCCAAGACTACTCTTTAAAAGGGAGAGCATGTCAGGGGTCTCAAAGTCCACCCTTTTTAAAAGAAAGCATGTTGGGGGTCTCCAAGACCACCCATAAGTTTAGAAATGTGCTAGGAAGACTTGGCATGCAGCTGTACTCGTGGGATATTTATGACAGTCAAAGCGACGGGAATCACACAGGGTGAAGGCCAGGGGAGACCAGACCCAAGCTCCCAAGAATCCTCCAGTGAGATCACACAAGATGCACCAAATTCCTCCAGAAATGGGTTTTAACAACACGCATGGAATGCTGTTTGTTAGGGAAGCTCCCAGGAGTCTCAGCGCCCAGGGGTTTCTGTTGGGGGCTGGTCCTGCAGGCACTGACTGCCTGGCACTGGCCTGAATTGCAGACTCCTAGAACCAAAGGAGGTGTTTAGCATGAAGTACGTTGCTTTTGCATATGGCTTAGGCACAGTCAGCTTATTATTTTAAGAATAGTGTGAATTCTCCACTGGAAATCCTCAGACACCAGCCACGGGGGAATCTCCAAGCCGGCCTTTGTAAGGGACACCATCTCAGGCCTGCCCCTTAAACCCCTTTCTGCATGGAGAGGAAAGGAGGGAGATGTTGATTTATGCCATCAAGCACCAGGCAGTCTGGGTGTTACCTCCTTTGTTCCCTGCCCAGCCTGTGGGTTTAGAGGTGCTGTCCCCATCATACACACGAGAACATGGGCGCTCAATGATGGGGTTGCCCGCCCTGACCTGGTGGTGGGATCTCTGTGCAGGGTCCCCAGTTCCTCTCTGTGCACTTCCCACACCCAAAGCCACCGTTGTGTTCACAGGAGCTGCAGCACCCCGACTTGTTCAAGGCTGTGGTTTGTTTAAGGAGGACAACCATTGTGCTTTTCAAGTTTCCTGCCATTTTATTTTTATTTTCTTAAAAAACTTTTTCTTCTTTTATTTATTTTTTATTTTTATTTTTTTGAGATGAAGTCTTGCTCTGCCACCCAGGCTGGAGTGCAGTGGCACGATCTCAGCTCACTGCAGCCTCCACCTCCCGGGGTTAAGCGATTCTCCTGCCTGAGCCTCCCGAGCAGCTGGGACCACAGGCATGTCCCACCATGCTCAGCTAATTTTTTTTGTATTTATAGTGGAGCCGGGGTTACAGCATGTTGGCCAGGCTGGTCTCAAACTCCTGAACTCAAGTGATCCACCTACCTCAACGTCCCAAAGTGCTAGGATGACAGGGCCAGTGCTTTATAGTGTAGAAGTCTGTGTATCTCCTACCCTGAGGGTGGATTTATTCTTTATAATTTTTTAAAGACAGTCTTGCTGTATCATCCAGGTGGTATAATATAATACATACCTGTATTACCTATACTATAAATACATGTATTACATATATATGTAGATATTTTGTAAATCATTTAATAGCAGAATGGTCTAGGGCTGCAAGCCTATGAGACCAACATTCTGTAAAGTCTTAAACCTTCAATCACCTGCCAGGGGTTCTGACATGGATGCCTGCGTTTGTCTTCATGGGTCAGAACGCGTTCATTTAGACACCCGTATCCATTCATTGCCTTTTGATTTCCAGTTTTGCTCTTTGCAGACTTTTCTTTTCCAGCCGCTGCTGAATGATTCCAGGGTTCTTTGTGGCAGACCAGGCCATGTCGAAGCGGGTCTCTGTGCAATGTTTTGTGTTTCTTTTAGGAAAATGGCACCAGGGTGTGAATTGTGCATCCCGTGCGGATCACTGCCACCACCCCCTGAACCACGGATTTGACTATTTCTACGGCATGCCCTTCACGCTCACCAACGACTGTGACCCAGGCAGGCCCCCCGAAGTGGACGCCAGCCTCAGGGCACAGCTCTGGGTTTACACCCAGTGCCTGGCGCTGGGGATTCTCACCGTGGCTGCCGGCAAGACCTGCGGTCTCATCTCTGTCTCTAGGACAGCAGTCGCCGGCATGGCCGGCCTGCTCTTCCTGTTTTTCATCTCCTGGTACGCTAGCTTTGGGTTTGTGCGCCGCTGGAACTGTATCCTGATGAGAAACCATGACGTCACGGAGCAGCCCATGGTTCTGGAGAACACAGCGAGCCTTATGCTAAAGGAAGCCGTTTCCTATATTGAAAGGTAAGCAGCTGTCACGTCTTAAACAGGAGATGGGGCCGGCCTGCTGGCTCACGCCTGTCATCCCAGCACTGTGGGAGGCTGAGGGGGCAGATCACGAGGTTAGGAGCTTGAGACCAGCCTGGCCAACATGGTGAAACCCCGTCTCTATTAAAGATACAAAAACCAAAACAAAATGAGCCGGGCATGGTGGCACACACCTGTAATACCAGATACTCAGGAGGCTGAGGCAGGAGAATCGCTTGAACCCGAGAGGTGGAGGTTGCAGTGAGCCAAGATTGTGCCACTGCACTCCAGCGTGGTGACGGGACAGGCACAGTGTCTCATGTGTGTCATCCCAGCACTTTGGGAGCCCAAGATGGGAGGATCCCTTGAGTCCAGGAGTTTGATACTAGCTTGGGCAACATAGGAAGACTGGTTCTACAATAAATATAATCATTAGCCAGGAATGGTGGTGTGTGGCAGCAATGCCAGCTACTCAGGAGGCTAAGGAGGGAGGATCACTTAAGCCTCTGTTGTAGGGGCTGCAGAAAGCTATGATCACACCACTGGACTTCAGCCTGGGCAACAGAGTGAGGCCTTGTTGCTAAAAATATAAGATTTAATTTTTAAAAAGAGGCGGTAATGTCTCAGAGCATCTGAGTCTCCTTATGATCTCTGGGGTCTCGGACAACAGCCCGAGGAGGAGATGGTTACAGAAGCCAGCCTTTTTATATGGCTGCATTGCCCGTATTAGAGCCTCGATGTGGATGGCATGTGATGGCTCAAATAGCATTGACATAGATGCCATTGTATTCTCTACATTATTTTCTTTGACAGTTTTTTAAACGTTTTTGCATTCTTTGTAGATATGGGTTCTCCTGGGCTCAAATAATCCTCCCATCTTGGCCTCCCAAAGTGCTGAGATTACCGAAGTGAGCCACTGTGTCTGCCTTTTTTAATGTGTCACTTTTTTTTCCTTTTTTTGAGACAAAGTCTTACTATATGGCCCAAGCTGGTCTTGAATTCCTGGGCTCAAGCCATCCTCCCACCTCGGCCTTCCAGAGTATTGGGATTACAAGTGTGAGCCACCATGCCTGGCCCTCACTTTTTAATTTGTACACATTTATGGGGTATGTGTGAAATTTTGTTACGTGTATACACTGAATAGCAATCAAGTCAGCATACTTAGCGTATCCGTCTCCCGATTGCAATACATTCTGTTAGCTTTGCCCACCCTACTCTGCTCTCAGACATGAAATGTATTCCTTTAAGCTTACTATATGTTTGGGCTCTTTAAAAACCACTTCTCTTTGTCCTACACCCTTCCCTGCCTCTGGTCTCTATCATTGTATTCTCTATCTTCATGTGATCGATTTTTTTAGCTCCCACATATGAGTGAGAAAATGTAGGATCGGTCTTTCTGTGCCTGGCTTATTTCACTTAACATAATAACCTCCTGTTTTACCTGTGTTGCTGCAAATAATAGGATCATTCTTTTTGATGACTGACTAGCATTCCATTATGTACATACACCAGACATTCCCTTTTTTTCTGAGACAGCCTTGGCTCTATCACCCATGCTGGAGAGCAGTGGCATGATCACGGCTCATGGCAATCTCTGTCTCCCTGGCTCGAGCAGTTCTCGTGCCTTAGCCTCTTCAGTGATAGAATTATAGGTGCCTGCCACCACATCCTGTTAATTTTTTTATTTTTAGTAGAGACAGGGTTTTACCATTTCACCATGTTGGCCAGGCTGGTCTCAAACTCCTGACCTCAACTGATCTGCCCGGCTCAGCCTCCCAAAGTGATGGGATTACAGGCTTGAGCCACCGTGCCCAGCCTCCATTCTTTTTTATGGCTGAATAGTGTTCCACTGTGGACATATACTATTTATTTATTTAGAGACAGGGTCTGACACTGTCCCCCATGCTGGAGGGGAGTGGTGTGATCACGGCTCACTGCACGCTCCACCTCCCGTATTAAAGCCATCCTCCCACCGCAGCCTCCCAAATAGCTGGGACTACAGGCTCAAGCCACAACACCCGGCTACTTTTTCTATTTTTTATAGAGACGGCATTTCACCATGTTGCCCAGGCTGGTCTGAAGCTCCTGGCCTCAGCCTCTCAAAGTGTTGGGATTACAGGTGTGAGCCTCTGCGCCCCGCCCACTGTCTATTCTTGATGCATTCATCCACCGATGGACTCAGACGCGGATCCCCTGCCTTGGCTCTCGTGAATAGTGTGGCGTGAACACAGGGGTGCGGGGTCCCTTTGATGTACAGCGTATTCTGTGGATTCTCAAGGAGGCTTTCTTCTTTCAGACACAAACATGGGCCATTTCTCCTCTTCCTTTCCTTGCTGCATGTGCACATTCCCCTTGTGACCACAAGAGCATTCCTGGGGAAAAGTCAGCACGGCTTATATGGTGACAATGTGGAGGAGATGGACTGGCTCGTAGGTAAGTCAACATTCCACGGAGCCTCCCTCCACTCTCGGCCTCACTGTTGTTACCACGGAGCCTCCCTCCACTCTCAGCCTCACTGTTGTTACCACGGAGCCTCCCTCCACTCTCAGCCTCAGCGTTGAACGTAGGGTGTAACAGACTGGCCATCTGAATATGAGCCAGCTTGCAATAAAAAATAAGAGCGGTGGCTCACACCTATAATCCCAGCACTTTGGGAGGCTGAGGCGAGTGGATCATCTGAGGTCAGGAGTTTGAGATCAGCCTGGAGGACATGATGAAACCCTGTCTCTACTAAAAATACAAAAAATTAGCCCAGCTTGATGATGTACACCTGTAGTCCCAGCCGCTTGGGAGGCTGAGGTGTGAGAATCGCTCGAACCCATGAGGCGGAGATTGCAGTGAGCTGAGATCGCGCCACTGCACTCCAGCCAGGAAAAAAAAAAAAAACTCTGTTCAAAAAAAAAAAAAAAAAAAAGAATAAGGTAACTCTTAGCACTTTGGAAGGCCCAGGTGGGCAGATTGCTTGAGGTCAGGAATTCAAATCCAGCTTGTACAACAGAGTGAGACCCCGTCTCTACAAAAAAATAAAATGCTTAGCCAGGCATGGGGATACATGCCTGTAGTCCCAGCTTCTCAGGAGGCTGAGGTAGGAGGATCGCTTGAGCCTGGGAAGTCAAGGCTGCAGTGAGCTGAGGTTGCACTGCTGTAATCCAGGCTGGGTGACAGAGTGAGACCCTATCTCATAAATAATGACAATGATAGTACAAAGAATGGGAGCAGAACATGCTCCAATATCATTTATTTGCTCCTTCAGTATTCCCAATTACTTAGTCTAATTTTGCACAGAATCAGCCTTCTATACAGCCCGTGACTTAATGTCCTCATTAGAAGTTACAGAAAATGAAGCAATAAAGTTAATGTTCAGAACAATGCAGAGACACTGTCTTCCTTCTGTGGCCTTCAGGAAACCCTGGAGAGGACCAGTGAGGCTGCAGATTCTTGAAAGAGCATAGACATTACAATTCTTGCAGAATCTGAATGTGTCTCCTGAGACAAGCATAGTGACAGAGTGGGATTAGTTCACAGTCTTAAAAGTCTGCATTTTCAGGTGGGGCAAGGTGACTCATGCCTGGAATCCCAGCATTTTGGGAGGCTGAGGCAGGCTGATTGCTTGAGGTCAGGAGTTCAAGACCAGCCTGAGCAACATAGTGAGACCCCCTTCCTCCATCTCTAAAAAAATTTTAAAAATTAGACAAGCATGGTGATATGCACCTGTGGTCCCAGCTACTCCAGAGGTTGAAGTGTAAGATAATTTGAGCCCAGGAGGTTGAGGCTGTAATGAGCTATAACTGTCGCACCACTAAACTCCAGCCTGGGCAACAGAGCAAGACCCTGTCTCCAAAATCAAAAGAAATAAAAGACAAAGAATAGGGAGAAAAACTTCCCTCATATCATTTATTTGCTCCTTCAGTATTATCAAGCACTTAGTCTAATTTGCACAAAGTCAACTGTATTAGTCCATTCTTGCACAGAAATACCTGAGACTGGGTAATTTATGAAGAAAAGAGGCTGAATTGGCTCCCAGGTCTGCAGGCTGTACAGGAAGTATGGCGGCATCTGCTTCTGGGGAGGCCTGGGGAGCTTTTTGCTTGCGCGGAAGGTGAACGGAGCAGGCGTCTCGTGGCAGGAGCAGGACCAAGAGAGGAGCCGCACACTTTGAAACAACCAGATCTCGAGAGAACCCACTCACTCCGCAGCACCAAGCAGGGGTGGTGCCCCACCATTCATGAGAACTCTGCCCCCGTCATCCACTCACCTCCCACCAGGCCCCACCGCCAACACTGACGATTACAATTCACAGATCCAAACCATATTGTCAACCTTCTACACAGCCAACGACTTACTGTCCTCATTAGAAGGAACAGAAACTAAAGCAATAAAGTTAATGATCAGGACAGTGCAGAGACATCATCTTCCTCCTATGGCCTTGAAGAAACCCTGGAGAGGACCAAAGAGGCTGCAGATTCTCAAGAGAGTGCAGATACTAAAATCCTTGCAGAATCTGAACGTATCTCCTGAGACAAGCATAGTGATAGGGCGGGATTGGTTCACAACGTAAACCAAAAATAAAATTCAAAGGCCCCCCACTACCATCTGAATGGATTTCCTCCTTTGCCAGGGTACCCTAAAATTTAACCTGAGAGACTGCTTTCGGCCATGATGGAGGAGGGGGTTGGACACGCGTCATTCCACCCTCCAGCGTGAACACCCACGCAGACCTTACGTCTGATAACAAACATTTACAGTCTATTCTCTCTGAAGCCTGCGACCTGCAGGCACCATGTGCATAGTAAAACCTGACTGTCCACAACCTGTTGTCATAACCCAGGCATTCCTTTCTGTTGATAACAACTCTTCAATCAATTGCCAATCAGAATATGTTTAAACCCCCCACTTCAAGTTGTTCCACCTTTCCAGCTCAAACCAATGTACATTTTACATGTATTGACTGATGTCTCATGTCTCCCTAAAGCATACAAATCCAAGCTTTGCCCCAACCACCTTGAACACATGCCATCGGGACCTCCTGAGGCTGTGTCATGGGCACATCCTTAACCTTGACAAAATTAACTTTCTAAATTGATTGAGGCCGGTCTCAGATGCTTTCCGGGGTACAGCAGTCTTCAAACTCTGCATTTTTGGAGTTACAGATGACAGTGTGGTTTATATCATCTGGACTTTCAGTGCTTTAAATGGCCAGCGGCCTCCAAAGATAAAGCAATTGCTTTGCAGAGTGCCCTCTGCACTTCTGAGTCATCAACCTCCAATACGCCATACCCATCGATGCTTCTTCCTGTATGGACAGGGTTCTGTCATCACTGAGTCTCACCTTTTCCCTCGCCCCAATGTCTTTATTATGACACACACACACACACACACACACACACACACACACACACACACAGAGGCACTGTGTTTATAAAAGCATGCCAATTGACAACCTATTGGCATTGTGTGTTCATTCTGTGTTTTGTATTGGTGGTATCTTGGGATCAACCAAAAGAGTCAAACTCTGTAAATATTTGGAGAGATTTATTCTGAGACAAATATGAGTAATCAATGACCCATGGCACAGCCCTCAGGAGGTCCTGAGGACGTGTACCCAAGGTGGTCGGGTTGCAGCTTGGTTTTGTAAATTTAGGAAGACATACAGCATCAATCAATATGCGTAAGACATATCTTGGTTCGTTCCAGAAAGGCAAGACCACTGGAAGAGGGACTTCCATGTCAAAGGCAGAGTTACCGATTTTCTGATCAGTGGGTGATTGAAAGAGTTATTATCTGAGAATCCATAGAAGGGAATGTCTGGTTTCCAATAAGAGGCTGTGGAGGCCAAGGTTTTATGATGCCAATGAAGCCTCCAGGTAGCAGGCTTCAGAGAGAATAAATGGTAAATATTTCTTATCAGACTTAAAGAGCCTGCTCTATCACTCTTTTTTTTTAAACAGGATCTCACTTTGTCACCCAGGCTGGAGTGCAGTGGTGCGACGTTGACTCACTGCAGCTTTGGCCTCCCAGGCTCAGGTGATCCTCCCACCTCAGCCTCCTGAGTAGCTGGGAGTACATACAAGCATGTGCCACAAAGCCTGGCTAATTTCTGTATTTCATGTGGAAACGGGGCTTTGCCATGTTGCCCAGGCTAGTTTTGAACTCCTGAGCTCAGTCGATCTTCCTGCCTTGGCCTCCTAAAGTGCTGGGATGACAGGCATGAGCCAGTGTGCCTGGCCTTCTCTCAGTCATAAGGTCTCTGTCTTCATGTGAATGCTGGTCAGTTGCACGTGGATTCCAAAGAAAGGAGGGTATCATAACGCATGTCCAACTGCACCCGCCCCTGCCAGCTACCACTTTTCATCATGGCCCGACCTAGTTTTTTGTTGTTGTTTTTTTGTTTGTTTGTTTGAGACAGTCTCACTCTGTCACCCAGGCTGCAGTCAGTGGTGCAATCTTAGCTCACTCTAACCTCTGCCTCCTAGGTTCAAGCGATTCTCCCACCTCAGCCTTGGTCCCAAGTAGCTAAGATTACAGTGTGCATGACCACACCTGCCTAATTTTTGTGTTTTTGGTAGAGATGAGGTTTCACCATAATGGCCAGGCTGGTCTTGAACTCCAAGCTTCAGGTGATCCACCCACCTCAGGCTCCCAAAGTGTTGGGATTACAGGTGTGACCCACCATGCCCAGCCTGACCTCGTTTTTCAGGTTAACTTTGGAATGGCCTTGGCCAAGGGGAGAGTCTATCAATCAGATGTGGGGAGCTTAGAATTTTATTACTGGTTTGCGTTGTAAACAGTCCTGTGGTGTCACAATGATTACCTATGTCTTATGCCTTGGGATCGCATTGTAACCATGGCCTCCAAGTAACTGTGCTCTCTTCTTATGACTTCCTGGCAAGAGGTGTCTTATGTAGAAAGGAAGAAATAATTGAACTGGCAGATGCTGCTTTGTTTACTTTGTCCTGAAACTTTCCACTTTCTGTAAAGGTAAGATTCTTAATGCCATCGAAGACAATGGTTTAAAGAACTCAACATTCACATATTTCACCTCTGACCATGGAGGACATTTAGAGGCAAGAGATGGACACAGCCAGTTAGGGGGATGGAACGGAATTTACAAAGGTGAGTTGTGGACATTGGGGACACATATGCATTTGACTAAATAGCTCCCACTACCGAGGGTCCCAGAACAAGTCAAACTGAAATGAGTTTGCTCATTTCAAAAAGAATGTATGGAGCACCTTCTGTAGACCAAGTTCTACCTAGATGAGCAGGACAGGCACATACAAAGTCACATCCCCTTCCTTTAAAGGGTTTACATTTCAGTAGAAGAGAGAGAGGTATAAATAAATAATTCAGATAAAATCAAAATTTATTTTATTATATTATTAATTTTTGAGTATTTAATCAATGTATTACTATTTTAACTTTAATGTTTTAAATGCATCAATTAATACTGATGCATAATATTTAATAAATATTGTTAAATTATTGATATTTAACAAACGTTTTTGAAGTACTAATACATAATAAATATTTTAATACATTCTTTTATTCTAAATAAAGGTAGCATAGAGTGACTATAACAGTTGAAGCAGACACAGTGACCCACTGATATTCAAGAGGCTGGGGAGTAGCACAATTCTGGAAATACTGCTGTGACTGTTTTTGGTGACCTCAGGCTGCCCCAGTGTGCATGTGTGCACGTGGGTGGTTGTGCATACAAACTGGGCAGTTTCCAGCAAAATCCTAACCATGTCTTTTACTTACAGGTGGGAAGGGCATGGGAGGATGGGAAGGTGGGATCCGCGTACCTGGGATCTTCCGCTGGCCCGGGGTGCTCCCAGCTGGCCGAGTAATTGACGAGCCCACGAGCCTGATGGACGTGTTCCCCACCGTGGTCCAGCTGGCGGGCTGCGAGGTGCCCCAAGACAGGTACGTGGAGATAAGGTTGCCTGTTCCCTGATTTTTTTAATTGTTTTTAGTTTTTATTTATTTTTATTTCAATAGAATTTTGGGGAACGGGTGGTGTTTGATTACATGAATAAGTTTTTCTTTTCTTTTTTTTTGAAACGGAGCGTTGGAGTGTCGCCCAGGCTGGAGTGCAATGGCAGGATCTCAACTCACTGCAACCTCTACCTCCCGGGTTCAAGCGATTCTCCTGTCTCAGTCTCCCAAGCAGCTGGGATTACAGGCACACACTGCCACGCCTAGCTAATTTTTTGTATTTTAGTAGAGATGGGGTTTCACCGTGTTGCCCAGGCTGTTCTCAAACTCCTGAGCTCAGGCAATCCGCCTGCCTTGGCCTCCCAAAGTGCTAGGGTTACAGGTGTGAGGCACTGCGACCAGCCATAGATAACTTCTTTAGTGGGGATTTCTGAGATTTTGGTGCGCCCATCACCCAAGCAGTGTACACTGTATCTAATGTGTAGTTCTTTATCCCTCACCCCCTCCCACCCTTTCCCCTGCGTCCCCAAAGTCCATTGTATCATTCTTATGCCTTTATGTCCTCATAACTAAGCTCCCATTTATGAGTGAGAACATACAATGTTTGGTTTTCCATGCCTGAGCTATTCACTTAGAATAATGGTGTCCAGTTCCATGTAGGTTGCTGCAAATGCCATTATTTTATTCCTTTTTATGGCTGAATAATATTCCATGGAGTGTGTGTGTGTGTGTGTGTGTGTGTGTGGGTGTGTGTGTGTATTACACTTTTTAAATCCACTCTGATTGATGGGCATTTGGGCTGGTTCCATATTTTTGCAGTTGCTAATTGTGCTGCTGTGAACGTGCGTGTGAAAGTGCCCTATCCATATGATGACTTCTTTTCCCTAGGTAGATACCCAGGAGTGGGATTGCTGGATCAAATGGTAGTTATTTTGAGTTCCTTAAGGAATCTCCACATTGTTTTCCACAGTGGTTGTATTAGTTTGTATTCCCACCAGCAGTGTAGAAGTGTCCCCTGTTCACTGCGTCCTCGCCAATATCTGTTACTGTTTGATGTTTTGATTATGGGCGTTCTTGGCGGAGTGAGGTGGTATTCCATAATGGTTTTGACTTACGTTTTCCTTATCGTTAGATTCCTCTCATTCCTTTGTATTAGGAGGGATAGAACAACATTGGAACTTTAAGCAAAATTCACTTCCTCCAATTTTGGGACCAGCCTAGTGGAAAATGGCCGACCCCAGTTACAAGATAACATAAGAACAAAGATGGTGGCCACAGTACTCACTTTCCATCATTTCCACTACTGACAAATTTTGAACCTCAGCATAACAAAGAGAAGATTAAATCATTAGAATGCGATCCATGCACAAACATCTTCCTATAATTTCCCGAAATCTAAGTACAATCTTGCCAATATGTTAGTGAAGCAAGAAAAACTGATTGAAAGATGGTTTATCACCTTGATACAAGCATATTGCCAGAGTCAACCTTATACAAGAGAAAAAAAACTAAGCAAATACTTTGGTAATGATTTTATTTTACTCTATTTAAAGAAACAAATAAATGCTCATATATAAGGGATGATCATATGAAGAATCCTATCTCTAACTTCTCACCCCCAAATCCTTTTTTTCTTTTAAGAGACAGGTTCTTGCCATGTTGCCCAGGGTGGTCTCCAATTCCTGGGATCAACTGATCTTTGGGAGGTCAAGATGGGCAGATCACCTAAAGTCAGGAGTTTGAGACCAGCCTGGCCAATGTGGTGAAACCCCATCTCTACAAAAAATACAAAAATTAGCTGAGGGTGGTGGCTTGTACCTGCAGTCCCAGTTACTCAGGAGGCTGAGGCACAAGAATCTCTTGACCAGGAGGCAGAGGTTGAATTGAGCTGAGATTGTGTCACTGCAGTGCAGCCTGGGAGACAGAACAAGACGCTGCCTCAAAACAAAAACAGTCAGAAAAGTCAACCTAGGAATGTGGGCTGTCCAGCTGGAACTTGAAGGCTTTGTGTTAACACCCAAGGTGGCAGTGCTGGGTGCATGTGCACTCTGCTTATGCAGTGCTGCGTAACAAATAACCCCAACAGTTAGAGACTCTGTGTCTTGAAATAACCAGATGTATCCTGCTCAGCAACCTGCAATCTGAACAGCGACTGGGGAGAGACAGCTCATCTCTGCTCCGTTTGCTGGGGAGCCTTGCAATCTGGGAGGTTTGTTCCCAGGTGCAAAAGGCTTCCTGGGAACCCATGGTCTGACTCTGCTCTGTGGTCTCTTCATGGGATCAGGGTGATTGACGGCCACAGCCTGGTGCCCTTGCTGCAGGGAACTGAGACACACTCGGCACATGAGTTCCTGTTTCATTACTGTGGGCAGCATCTCCATGCAGCACGCTGGCACCAGAAGAACAGTAAGTAAACGCTGCCCACAGCCAGAGTTGCCCAGAGAAACAGCCAATAGGATGTGTGGATATGTGGTTGGATGGATGGATGGATGGGTGGACAGATAGCTATAGAAATAGACATAAATAAACCAATGAGTAGATTATACATAGGTGATCGGAGAGTAGAGAGAGAGAGAGAGAGAGAGAGAGGGATGATAGATGATAGATGATGGATAGATAGATATAGATAGATAAGATAGATGATGGATGGATAGATAAGATACATGATGGATGAGTAGATAGATTGATAAATAGATAGATGATAGATAATGGATAGATACCTGATGGATAGAAAGATGAGATGATGATGGATGAGACGTAATGGATACATACATAGATAATGCACAGCTAGATGTAGATAGATAAGATGATACATGACGGATGGATAGATAAGATAAATAATGAATAGATAAGATAGATGATTGATAGATAAATAGATAATGATAGATGAGTTAGATAGGTAAGATAAATGGTTAGGGATAGACAGATAAGTATCCAATCGTGCTGTTTAAAGTATCATGGTCGTTTCTGTGTAGAAAGGTAGTAGAGCGACGCTGAACGATTTCAACACAGGGGAAAGGGTGGGAATTAAGGAACCTCTGTGATTCTGACTTCTGAAAGCAGCCACAGCGAGTGCTCTGTAATGAGTCCCTTTGCCTGGAGCATGCGAAGTAGAAACACAGACGGACACACACATGGGTGCGCACACACACATACAGACATACACTCTGACTTGACAAGCTGAAGGCTGCGATTGTGTGAACAGCCTCCTGTCCCCCCTCCTTTTCATTGAACAGGGAGGTTCATGCTGATTCCACAGAGCTGACACCTGCGCTCAGTGTTCACACCTGTGTGGATTTCTGCCACCCTGACTCCCTTTTTGTCTATATCCAGGTGGAAGCGTCTGGAAGATTCATTACATGACCCCACAGTTCCACCCTGAGGGAGCAGGGGCCTGCTACGGCCGAGGCATCTGCCCGTGCTCCGGGGAGGGCGTGACCCATCACAGACCCCCTTTGCTCTTTGACCTCTCCAGGGACCCCTCTGAGGCACGACCTCTGACCCCTGACTCTGAGCCCCTGTACCACGCTGTGATGGCAAGGGTGGGTGCAGCGGTGTCAGAGCATCGGCAGACCCTGAGGCCTGTGCCCCAGCAGTTTTCCATGAGCAACATCGTGTGGAAGCCATGGCTGCAGCCGTGCTGTGGAAATTTCCCATTCTGCTCATGCCGCGAGGATGGGGATGGCATCCCCCGAATGCCAGCACTGTGAGAGAGGATCCACTGCCGCAAACAAAATTCTCCAAACTTGCTTCTATCTTCAGCTTCCCTTTTGCAAGGAACATGCCCTGGACTGAGAGTGGGCCCCTATTTTCTTTTTTTCTTTCTTTATTTCTTTTTTTTTTTTTTTTTT